ATCCTCATTGTCAATCCAGCCACTGACAACCCCTCCAAGGTGCCACTTGGGCAATTTGAAATGGCTCCCAAAACACACACCACGAAACTGGCAAGATTCATGGTTAGAGTCATTGTCTTAGCATTGCTCTGACTTTTTAAACTAACAAGCCCCAACTACTTTAAGCTTCTCCTGGTGATGGAAGTGCTTTAGCCCCTTACAATGCAAACCTATGCGTGCTTAGACAGAAATAAATCCTACAACTCCCAGCTTTTCATCAATATGGCCAGCCGAGGGACACCGGGATTTGTAGGACTTACTTTGTCAAAAAATGCATACAATTGCTTGTTTAGTCATTTTTTCCTGCTTTATGGAAATTCAAACTACATTGTCACCAACAGTAAATGAAATAGAGACATTAAATGGATTTTAAAAACATACCCCATCTTTTTCCTGCAAAGAACCAAAGAGAGCTTATTCCATTTTATTCTCACAACAACCCTGTGAAGTAGGGTCAGCTAAGAGTCGGTGACTAACCCAAAGTGAGCTAAGTGAGCTTTGTGGTCAAGAGGGAGCTCGTTCCAGGCCAGCACTCTGTGTGCCACACTAGCTCTAGACTGGATGATAGCTATAATTATACAATTATGCACAAATAGTAGATAATATAGAAATTGTCATATAAGTGGAACTACTCAAAAGCTTAGGTGCTTGGGTATTCTGCCCGGAGCGTGAGCAGCACACATATTTTAACAACTACAGTGGTACCTTGGCTCACGAACGCCTCAGTTCACAACCAAATAGGGTCATGAACAGAAATTTCTGAAAAGTTTTGCCTCTGGTCAAGAACTCGGCTTAGGGTGACAATCACACCCGGCTGCCCCCTCCCCCCCCCCCGTGCACCTGCGATCATGCCTGTTTATGGGCGCAGTTGTGGTTGTGCAGGAGTGGGAGATGGCCGCAATCTTTGTTTTGTCACTTTGCTTCAAATTTGTTTGATTAAAAAAAAGTTACAGAATGGATTAACCTTATTTACATTGAACCTTATGGGGAAATTTGACTTGGCTCACGACCAATTTGGGTCACGACCAGAGCCCTGGAACAGATTATGTTCATGAGCCAAGGTACCACTATATGCTGGAATCCTCAGAGAATTGCTGTGGTGTGTTTACAAGACACTTGAGGATAAAATTGCCCACCTCCTCCATGCTGATGTGAATGCTGTGATTGGTGCAGCATTTGTCAAAGTATCCAGCATATTACCTTGTACTGTTTTTTGGAATAAGCTTTTGGAGCTGGGAAAAATGCACAAGACACTAGTACCTGTATGATCCACCAGATGTGCTCTTGATCTTTGCGTTTGAAGTAGCCACTGACTGGATGGATCAGAGTGGTTAAAACATCTTTTTGTGAAGTGTAGTCCCTACTACCATAAAGGAAGCAGTGGTGTGACCATTTCTGATTGCACAGATTTCTGGATGGGGAGGTGCGAGGGCAGGCAAATTATTACATCATGAACACCTGATTCTTGAGTAAAGTCCTTGAAGCTGGTACACCACCTGTCTTTCATGAATGAAACTGATTATTTGGATCCACTCCAGTCCAGGTACAGGCTAAGGTTTTTGTTGGAAGCAGCCTTGGTTGCCATGATCAATTACCTTCTTTAGGGACTGGGGACTGTTTTTTTCTTATTCTCTCAGCAGCTTTAGATAATGCTGTTCATAGTATTTTCCTGGACTGTCTCTGTGAGTTCAGAGTTGGAGGCAGAGTTTGACAGTGGTTCACCTCTTACTTGCAGAGAACAACAGTGGGTGACTGTATCTCAGTCCCATGGCAGCTGAGTTGTGGGGTGCCAGATGATACTTTGTTCCCAATGTCATTTAAAATATGAAGCTTTGGGGTACAGTCATCAGATTTGGACTGGTTGTCATTGTATCTGATGGCTTGCACTTCTTTCCTTGTGACATCTGAACTGAGAAACCACGCACGTTCTGCGTAAGTGCAAGGAAGCAGTTGCAGCTTAGATAACGGCTAATAAACAGAAAGTGGACCCTGCTAAGACACAGACCTTAGTGATGGGCGGTTCCCAGATCTGGGATGGGCTGTTTGCCTGTATTGGATGGGGCTGCACAGAATTTAGGAAGAGTTTGGGTGAATGGCACTGTGTCACCGAAGGCCCACATGATACCAGGTGGCAATGCTGTGCCTCCACTGTGGACTGAACTGGTGGTGGTCCCCACCCTCTGGAAGAACCTTTCCAGTTGTTTGGGAGGCAGACAATGTGGCATGCTCTATACACCTCCTGAAAACCTGTTTAACGGGACTTTCTTCAGGTTGTAACTAACTGCAATTAAGATATGCTGCTCTGCCTTTCTGTTTCTTGTATTGTTATACTGACCTGTCATGGTCAGATCACTTCCTGGTGAGGTTTGTGCTCGAGAGTGGCCTCTCCCTCTGTAAGGGTGCGGACCTGATTGTGTGGGTCTGCCCCCAGAGCCGGATGGATCCGGATGGATTCCTGAAGGCCCTGGGGGAGTTTCCGGCTGACAAGACTGCTACTCCTGTCGAGGCTCTGGTCGAACTGTGGAACGGGGAGATGACCAGGGCGTTGACACGATCGCTCCTAAGCGTTCTCTCCCGCCGGGCAGAGTCCGCTCTTCCCCTTGGTATACACCTGAATTGTGGGCGATGAAGCAGGCTGGGAGATGGCTAGAGCGTAGGTGGAGGAGATCACGGGATGAATCTGACCAAACACACTTAAGAGCCCATTATTGGGCCTATGCTGTGGCGGTGAGGGTGAAAAAGAATTTCTTTTCCGTTTCCATTGCCTCCTCAAAATGCCGTCCGGCGGAGCTTTTTCGAGTGGTGCAAGGCCTGGTTCATCCAGGTCCTAAGAAAGATCTGGTTCCACCCTCGAAGGCCCGCTGTGACAATTTTGCCAAGCATTTCAGGGAGAAAATCGCTCAGATTCATCACGAGCTAGACTCTACTAGTGACTCAGAAGTTTCTGGGGAGGCACCAATGCTGCCGTCTGGTCCAAAATTAATGGATGAATTTCAATTATTGCGGCCCGATGATGTGGACAAGGTGCTTGGATGAGTATGTCCCACCACTTGCCTATTGGACCCTTGCTCATCTTGGTTAATAAATAATTCCAAGCACGGGATTGGGATCTGGATCTTGGAAGTGGTTAACGCCTCTCTGAGGGAGGGTCGGGTACCTGCCCCTTTAAAGGAGGTGGTAGTCCAACCGGTCCTGAAGAAAGCGTCACTGGATCCAGAGATGGCCACTAATTATAGACCAGTGGCCAACATCCCGTTTCTGGGCAAGGTGTTGGAGTGAGTGGTGGCGGGACAACTCCAAGCTCTCTTGGATGAAACTGATTATCTGGACCCATTTCAGTCCAGCTTCAGACCCGGGTATGGTACTGAATCTGCCTTGGTCGCCCTGTACGATGACCTGTGCAGGGAGAAGGACAGGGGGAGTGCGTCCCTGTTGGTTCTCCTGGACCCCTCAGCGGCTTTCGATACCATCGACCATGGTATCCTTCTGGATAGGCTAGCAGGATTGGGGGTCGGAGGCACTGCTTTGCAGTGGTTCCACTCCTATCTCAATGACCGATTCCAGAAGGTGGTGCTGGGGGATTATGGCTCTGCACCATGGCAGCTATGCTATGGAGTACCGCAGGGGTCCATTTTGTCCCCTTTGCTGTTTAACATCTACATGAAACCGCTGGGAGAGGTCATCAGGAGGTGTGGGCTGTGGAATCATCAGTACACTGATGATACACAGCTCTACCTCTAGTTTTCCACCAATCCAGGTGAGGCAGTGGCTGTGCTGAACCGGTGCCTGGCCGAGGTAATGGGCTGGATGAGGGCCAATAAACTGAAGCTCAATCAGACAAGACAGAGATCCTGTTGGTTGGCGGATCGGGCTTCGGAGAGGGTGAATTGAACCTAGTCCTGAATCGGGTTGCACTCCCTCTTAGGGACAAGGTCCGCAACTTGGGAGTGCTCCTCGACCCAGAGCTTTCATTGGAAGCTCAGGTGACAGCAGTGGTGAGGAGTGCTTTCCTTCAGCTTTGGCTGATCCATCAGCTGCGCCCCTACCTGGAGTACGACTGCCTGGCAACAGTGACACACGCGTTGGTGACTTCCCGTCTTGACTTCTGTAACGCGCTCTACGTGGGGCTACCCTTGAAGACAGTCCGGATACTTCAATTGGTTCAAAATAGAGCTGCCAGGCTGCTGATGGGGACTGGGCATTATATTCACATGACTCCAGTCCTCCGTCAGCTTCACTGGCTTCCCATTGAAGTCCGGGCACAATTCAAGCTGTTGGTGATGACCTATAAAGCCCTAAACGGCTTGGATCCTGGCTACCTGAAGGAGCGCTGACATCCATATACGCCCGCCCGCCCGCCCGCCCCCTGAGATCTGCGGGAGAGGCCCTTCTCCAGGAACCCTCCGTGAAGGAAATTAGGAGGGTACTCGGAGGAGGGTTTTCTCTGCGGTGGCGCCCAATCTATGGAATGTGCTCCCCAGAGAGGTCCGCCTGGTGCCGTCGTTATTTGTTTTTCGGCGCCAGGCGAAGACCTTTTTATCCAAACGTCATTTTAATTGCTAATATTATTTCCTTATTTTATTCTTTGGTCAGGGCGACTTATTTTATATTGTTAATTTGTTTTATATTTTTAATGTATTATATTTTAATGTTTTGTGAGCCGCCCCGAGGCTTCGGCGAATGGGGCGGCATAGAAATTTTCTAAATACATAAATAAATAAATAGTAATTTCATTTGATCAAATACAGTATTTTAAACATGATTTTTAATATTTACATGTGAATAGTTTAGGAGGTTATTAATGGTAAGTTTCACAACTTGAATAAATAATAAATAAATAATATGCCTAGAAAGACCCAGAGAAAAGCCGGCATTCAATGGTTGGTTCTGGACACAGCATGCCTACTCTACCAAAATAATTATAGTCGCAGTCACAGCAGCAGTAATAACAGACAAATACCTTTAAAGGGCACAACAGTTTATTTGGAGGCTGTGTTTTCCTGAGGCCAATTCCTCAGGAAACACACCAAATAAAAAGGGACTTAATTAAACGGAGGAATCTTGGGAACAGACCATGAACAGAAAGATGTAATCTGGACTAGTTACGAAAAGGCAGGGGGGAAAATAACCTCCAGAATCTTGAGAGCATTCCACAGTTGCAGAGACAGTACACTGCAGCGCCAAGAACACAAATGAGAATCTCCATCCCATGTTTTTGTGCAGGAAGAACGAGTGGAGAAACAGTGACATCAATCCACTCAGCAAGCTCCTTGAAAGCCTAGGTTGCTACTGCAAGGACAATGGAGGAACAGACAGCTGCCTTCCAAGCACATGACTCAGGCACAGTCTCTAGCCAGTATAGGGTATAAGCAGCTTTGTCTCATAGTGAAAACACCTTGCCTGCTCCTGAACAGGTATTCCTAATGGTTGCAGTGCAGCCGCCAGCAACACCAGTGTCATGAAGATGTACAGGCAGCTCCTGACAGCCAAGATGTCCCAAGCAGCAATCCCCAGCTTAGTCATTGAGCTTCTCTGGAGCAAAGGCATTTGGTTTCTGTGCAAAGGTCTCTGCAACCAGTAGAGGGAAAACCAGAGAAGCATCAGCATAAACCTGTCAGGAGAAAAACAGGATGAGGAAAGACTTCAGTGTGTCCTCCACCAGTAAGTTCTTATTCAAGTGAAAATTCTTATCTGCAAAGAGCAGAGGATACTCAATTCCCATGATGGTTCTTGTGGAAGCCCATCCAATCTACTGGTACCATTACCAGACAGTGGTCTCCTGCCCTGCATGCACCTTGACAGGCTTGGCATCCATGCGGATCTTTCCCCAGGACACTGCTTCATCAGGCCGAGCTCCAGAATCTGACCCATCAAATTCCTGTGCTGTGTTGATGTATACGGAAAAGTCAGCACCATTTCTCTGGGGAGTTGGAAGAGTTAATGGATCAGGCATGTAGAACATCTGGCTCAGTGAAAACTAAGGGTCTGTTCAGAACAGCAGACCCAGTGTGGCAGACAATCACCTCAACATATGCATTCTGAAAAGCATTCTCGTAGGAACAACTGCACTGCCTTGCTGAAATGAGTGCCCCATGTTAAACAGTGTTGAATACTTCAGAAGAAGTTCTTGGAAGTTCTCCTACACCAGAGTGTAGGACACAGAATAACCATCTCAAGTTGTGACAAACCAGATTGAGACTAGATATCAGGAAAAGTTTCCTAATTGTCAGAACAACAGGACAGTAGAACCAGCTGCCTAGAGAGGTCATGGGCTCTCCCACACTAGAGACATTCAAGAAGAAAACAGACAGTCATCTGAGTGGGATGGTGTAAGCTGGTGGCTTGCCAACAGCAGAGGGTTGAGTCCAATGGCCTTCTTGGTTCCTTCCAACTCTACTATTCTATGATTTAATGAAGACATCTTTCTAAGCACTGATATCCAAGATACTTTTAACTGGGGATGGGAGGGCTGTATGTAAGGCATGTGCACAATACAACAGGCTCCAGAAGTGGAACTGCCAGGGCTCAGGTAGGATGCCTCCTCATTCTGGAGGAGAATAATTCACAGGTAACGATCCCCTTACCCTATCCATCCTGCCAGGGCTTGCCTGCTCAGGCTCTTTAGTATCCTAAGCAGTGTCTCTAGATTTAGTGTCCCTAGATTAAGACATGGCAAGCAGTGCCATCTCAGTGCTACGTGTGCACTTTGCTTCTATACTCTTGTAGCTCACCGAGCACCTCCCTCCTCAGGCAAATCCTTCCTTTCTATCTTCTGTGTCAATCCCTACTGGACGCTTATATGCTCTCACCATCAGATTGGCATTGGCAATGTGGTGCTTTACAAGGCCTCCACCCAAGATGATCATCCCTGTCTTCTGGGCAAAAATAGCCTGGGTGTTGATGAGTCTCAGATCTACAAGAGGAACAAAACTCAAGTATAGGATGATAACATTGCAAACCAAGTCAGACTTTTGCATTGTAAATCTATCATTACTGGCTCTTAGTATACAGTTTCTACTACCTGCCTGTCTCGTGAAAGTAGACGGCAGAGAAAAGACAATACCTTGAACTGCCAAAGGGGTTAACTAGCATTAGAGAAACCTTGACTCACCTTCGACAATGTCCAGAACAAGGCCTGGCTTCTTATAGGAGTGGAAGAAAATCATGTCTCCCAGAGAGCCATCTGTCAGTGCTGGACTCAACACAGGGATGCTGTTCTGACAAGGAACATAAGCAGCATGATGAGCAGAGGCTGAAAATTTGCTAGACAGATACAAGAGGGTATGAAAGGAATGAGATACATGCTTAATGTGACAGATTTCAGAGAAGCATGGAATGCATAAGGAGGTGCCATCTCTTAAAGGAGTGCATCTGTGTGCGTGAAAGGGGTGGAAATGGCGAGGTGCAGACCAAAGCTAGTAGCTGAAAAATGAATGGCACACCACAACCAGCAGAGAGAGGGCGAGGGAGTGAGTTATTGGGTTGCAAAATCACACATATAAGACAGCTCCTCATATGACCAAAGATTGGAAGAAAGGCATCCATTATAAAGTGACAAAGGGGGGAAAAAGCATTTTATCAAGGATTCTGAGAACTTGATTTGACAAAAAGGTGAGATGTGGAAAGAAATGAGAACACCTTTTTCATCATACCTTCTGTGCCCAGAAATAGACTGATTCAGGATTGTTGATTTCCTTGCCCAGGCGAGCAATGAGTTTTGATGGAGTCCACTTCACACCCTGAAAGGCAGCATGGTTAAGACTCTGCCACCCTCTTCTCAGACAAATGGGGGAGCTAAGTATTAGGGCAGAGCTATACGCTCTTAACATGAAAAACTTCAAAACCAGAAATAATTATATATAATGAAGAGCAAGAAATCCCAGGAAGGTCACTGGCAGGAAATATTATGTGAGTGAAGAAATGGCCTTGGGATCATACGCTTAGAGCTAAGATGACATCTTATAAGACCAAGCACAATGGTGCCTTACCTGCCACCATTATCAAAACTATACCTTTCCCTGTTCCCAAAAATGATAAGAGAACCCAACAATTATCAAATGCCATTCACAATCAACATAGAGGAAACAGACTGAACCAAAACAACACAACAAATGCTTTTCACACTAAGGTGCTTTACACCAAATATTGTCGCTCTCACCTCTGTGTCCTGTTCTGTCACCATCTGGTCCAAGATTGGCATCAGCCAGTCCTCAAACTTGCAGTAATTGTCATTAGGCACCAACAGATTTCCAATCCTGGAGGGGCAACAGTATGGCTGGGAAGCAAAGCCAGGTTAGGGTCCTTGCCCCTACCGTGCCTCTTTTTTTCAATGCAGTTAATTCCTTCCTCACAGCACAGTATGAGAGAGAAGGATGTCAATGGGAAGGAATCGAAGAGTAATCCATCTCTTTGATCACAAACACACACAGTTCCTGACAATAGTCAGACCACCATTCCACCAGACAGATACCTGTTAATCCCATTCTGCCGTAGCTCTTTCCCACGCAAGCTGAAATCTCCAATATAGGTGGGTGCCAAGCATTTGATCAGATCTTCTTCCACACCACCTGCTGTAGTCACCAAAACATCCACCTACAGAATCCAAAGAATATAGGCTATATCGCTCAGCAAGGCTCACAGCCACAAATGTCCTCTGTACTGGGGTTCCACAGAGCTTTAACCCAGCAGCCTCCCACCTTCAATCTTGGGACATCTGTAGGCCAAATCTCTTTTCCATAATTAGAAAGAGGGTGTTTCCCTTCAGATTTCCTCCAACCCTGAAATGCTCACTGGAATGCCCAAACACAACACTCAGCACAACAAACATGTGAGGGAAATAAAGATGACAGTGCTATAAAGCACCTGGAAGCTTCTTTCCCATAACACACAGCCATCTTTCTTTCAACATAACACTCCAGGAATCTTTTTCCTTAGATGCCAAAGGAGGAAACATCTCCCAGAGCTGGACAATACCATGTTGTGTTGCACCAGGTAGCGGATGGTCTCTCGAACACCTGAGCTGATAAGGTTGGAGGTGTAGCCCAGGAAGATAGTACAGCCTGTTAGATGGCGAGAACAGGGATTCAGGTCAGCGTGATTTCCATCGCTCTCAGTCAACGGTGTCAGCTTTGCTTCTATCTGAAGTAAGGAGCACAACTATTGGAATCAAGCTTAAAAGGCAACAATCAAGACAAAACGAACTACTTCATTGCCCTAATGGATAAATACAAGTAATTACTGTTCACAAGTGTTCACAAGTGAATTATGAAAGAAAAATGAATAATACAAATAGAGTGATAGGTATCCATTTGGAGAAAATGAGGTTTTGCCAATTTTTCTGAAATCAGATTAACTTGACCCTCCCACTCCCCCTCAAGAGAGAGATAAATGTAAGCCCTAGCTTGAAATACCGCTATAGATATTGAATGTAAATGGTCTAGATTCAGTTTATTGAAACAGCCAATTCAGCTTATTGACTCAACAGAACATCAGGCCAATTCAGCACTATAAAAATTGATCGATATACAAGGTTTAGGGGCAGATGAGGCTGTGTGCTGTTGTTGCTAAGAGATGATGCAAAAAAGGGAGAAGGTAATGCTTCTGCAGTGCAGAGCAACTGTTAAGACCATGCACCTGTGCATACTCTCTTTCACTGAATGTGTGAGATAAATGAATGGTGTTAAAACTGCTGTATGTGTAAATGTGAAAGTGTGAACAAAGATAGTATATACAAGAACACTTACAGAATTCTTCATGGCTTCAATTTTAAAGCCAGTGTTACACCTGGAGAAAGAACTTGAGTTCTCTCCTTTCTACCCCTCTACTACCCACAACAATATGTTAGCCATTCTACTCACCATGCGATTGATCTCATTCACAGCTTGCCCAAAGCTGGTCGCCTGGAAACCCGTGGTGAGATAAGACTGCAGCAATGCATGATAGTCCAGTCCACGATCAAAGTCATAGCCCTGTACAGTTAGGCTCCCTTCAGGCAATCCCTCACTGGGTTTCATTACAGCAGCCACTACCCCAGCAGGGAGGCCACTGGCCACATTCTCCATTAGGTAGATACTGGAGAGGCTGGCAGCCTAGAAGAATGAGGCCATTAGTAGAAAGACTTCTCAAAAAGTTCTCTCTCCTATAGGTGTTGTTATTGTTGTTATTGCACCGTAGCGCTACAATACTTCCCAGATTTTTATTTTTATTTATTGTCTCCTGCCCTTTTCCTTTCAAGGAATGCAAGATGGCTTACATAATTATCCTTCTCTTCTCAATCTTACCCTCACAACCACCACTCTGTGAGGTAGGTTGGACTGAAAGTTTGCAACCTGACCCAAAGCCACCAAGATAGCTGCATGAATGACTGGGGGCTAGAACTCAGATCTTCTAGCCTCCAGTCCCATACTCTTACTATACCACACCAGCTCTCATACCATATAACTTGTTATAGCCTTAGCGTATGGCCCTTCCTACTAGGATGAGAGCAAATTTGCACTACCTCCTAATTGCAAGGCCATCACCAATTACCAATGATGGAGACTAACTTCCTGTACCCATTTCTTCCAGTGAATCACTGGAAGAACTTTGTTAACTTCGTCAACATGTCTTCAAACAATTGCCAGCTTACTATGGACACCTTCTCCAAATGTGTCAAATTATATAATTTGCTGTTTCTGGAAAAGTAGCAAGTACCATCACTGTAACTATGCTAAATGGGTAGGAAGACAACCTAGAATATCCAGTGAAGTGGCTAACAAGTTTTTCAAAGAATAAGAAAACAGACTCAGGAAAGTCCTGCGCAACAACTGCACGTCCTGAGTTCATAGAATATAGTGAACCATTCTAGGCTACAGGGAGGAGAGACCACTTTTTGAATGTTCTAAATAATAAACCATTCTTAATAGAGAATTAGCAAACCACATGGGAAGAGCTCCTTCTAGGATGTTGTCTTCCATGGAAGCTTTTTATTTACAGAAAATTTTATTTACAGGAACTAGTCCAGTCTATTCTACCTTTTCCATGTGGTTTTGCTCCATAAGTAGATGAAGTCAGAGGTGAACAGTAAGCTGCAGGACATGGGCATATCAGGAAGAGGGAGAACTTAAGGCACTCTCTCTGATTACATTCTGGAAGCAAATTAATGTTCTTGATGCAGAAGAACTCTCTTACAATGGGAAAAACTAGATGTTACCTGTTTGTCATTCCCTATGAAAAAAACTGAAGCTATTGTACTCAGGCATATCGCGAGATAATCATGCTAGAGAAACTCAAAGGCTTTTGAAGAGGAAGAAGCCGACAAGCACCTACAAGATTCCAAAATGGAAGCTTCTGCCCTGAGTTTGCAAGAGCTGAGTAGAGCTCTCGTAAACTGCAAACTTTTTGGATTATATTCATTTATAGAATCACCAAAAATTAGAGAAGATTTTATGGTATGTAACAGCAATGTCTAAGTGAAGTGCCCTCCCTTGCAGTCTTTTTCCACATGATGTCTGTGCTGTGTGAGATGCTGGGCTCCCGGACAAATTGCTCAGGGCATAACAAGCGCTCAGGTTACAACCACTCTCCACACCACCAGTGCCACAGTTTCTAGGAATTTCTGCCCTGTAAAGAGCAACTTTCACTACAGAATAATAACGTGTGGATGGTCCTCCAGGAAAAGGGACCACAGCCCATCCTTGCTCTCTCTCAAGCAGGTCTAGCTGCCAATCATGGCCCGCCCTACAGAAGCCCGAGGGAAGCTATCTGTATTGACAGGAAAATGCGCTTCCGCATGGCGGAAGAAAAGTGCCCTGTCTGATTCAATGCATGTGGGTGATTTGCTAAATAGATCTCAACTGCCTCCCATGCCACCTCACCTGCAGCCTGAAGCGGTAAAGTCCAGACCTTCACCACCGCTTTCTGCATAACACCCGCGTCGATTCCGTATATTAGAGCGGGAGGGAAGGTAAAGCTAGGAAGAAAGGGGTAACGGAAATGGTCGCCGTAGGAAGGGTCTGTTTAGCCTATTGCTAAGCAGCATGGGAAATGTAGTGTGTAACGCGCAGCACCCCCCCCTTTCCGGGCCAACCCAAAGGTTAATAGGAGGTCGCTTGCACGCCCCCGCGCCCCTTCGCAACGCTCCGGCCACGCTCGGTCGTGCTTCGGCTGCAGTTACACGCAGAGGCCCTGCGAGGCGACTCGCAACGTGCGCACGACGCGTGCTCGACCGCACCGCGCACGCTGCGGAACATCCGAACATGTCCGTCAAATTAGAATAATTGAAAGGGCAGGACCGACGAAGGTTGATGGGAAATGAAGCGCTTTTCCGGGCCGCTGCCATTGCAAGCCTCATGAAACGGACTCCATTTCCCATGAGGCACCGGGCTCCATTCTGCAACCCGGGAAGGACATTCATCCCTCAAACGCCCCCTAGGATCGTGTTAGTCGGTGCTGCACTCAGTGCTATTTGCTGGGAGGGAGTGTGCGGGGTGTTTTCTACTTGAACTCCACTTTATTTATGACTCCGAGTGGGAAGGAGAGGAAAGAAAGGAAACGGCCCTGCTTCAGTTAATGCTTATTTTTAAGAGGTATTTTATGTGTTTGCAGTATCACAGCATTTCTGGCTTTCTTAATGGGAATATGCCCAGGATTCCACAGCTAACGGTCTAGCCCCACAGAGGCAAACGCCACGGAATTCAGTGAGACTTACTCTCAGGTAAGCCTGTGCTGGATTGTATCCTACAACACCCTGACCAAATATTTTTAATTACATTTATATCCTGGCTTTTTTTCCTTCAAGGAACTACACGAGGTGCCTTACATAATTCTTCTCTCAAGCATACCCTCACAACCCTGGAACATAGGCTGAGTGGCTCAACGTCAACCAGTAAGCTTTGTGGTCAATTGGAGACTAGAACCCCAGATGTCTTCGATCCTACTCTGACACTTTAACTGCTATACTGCACAAAACGAAAAAACTTTTTAACCTATCTTCTCAGAGAGTTTACTGGAGGAAAAAATGGAGAGGGAGAACATATAGTACTTGCCACATGCAGGGTTTCGAAGAGGCAGAGGAACTAGAGATCAAATTGCCAACATACGCTGGATCATGGAGAAAGCTAGGAAGTTCCAGAAAAACATCTACTTCTGCTTCATCGACTATGCTAAAGCCTTTGATTGTGTGGGTCACAACAAATTGTGACAAGTTCTTAAAGAGATGGGAGTACCTGACCATCTTATTTGTCTCTTGAGAAACATGTATGTGGGTCAAGAAGCAACAGTGAGAACTGGACACGGAACCACTGATTGGTTCAAAATTGAGAAAGGAGTTTGACAAGGCTGTATACTGTCGCCCTGCCTATTTAACTTTTATGCAGAGCACATCATGAGAAAGGTGGGGCTAGATGAATCAGATGTTGGAATTAAGATTGTTGGGAGAAATATCAACAACAGATGATACCACTCTAATGGCAGAAAGTGAAGAGGAACTAATGAGCCTCTTGATGCAGGTGAAAGAGGAGAGTGTAAAAGTTGGCTTGAAACTCAACATTAAGAAAACTATGATCATGGCATCTGGTCCTCTCACTTCCTGGCAAATAGAGGGGGAAGAAATGGAGGTAGTGACAGATTTTATTTTCCTGGGCTCCAAGATCACCACAGATGGTGACTGCAGCCAAGAAATTAAAAGATGCTTGCTCCTGGGCAGGAAAGCTGTGGCAAATATAGACAGCATACTAAAAAGCAGAAACATCACCCTGCCAACAAAAGTGTGTATAGTCAAGGCTATGGTTTTCCCAGTTGCAATGTATGGCTGTGAAAGCTGGACCATAAGGAAGGCTGAGCGCCAAAGAATTGAGGCCTTTGATTTGTGGTGCTGGAGAAGACTCCTGTGAGTCCCTTGGACTGCAAGGATATCAAATCAATCATTCCTAGAGGAGATCAACCCTGACTGCTGTTTAGAAGGCCAGATGTTGAAGATGAAACTCAAATACTTTGGCCACCTAATGAGAAGGAAGGACTCCTTGGAGAAGAGCCTAATGCTGGGAACAATTGATGGCAAAAGAAGAAGGGGACGGCAGAGAATGGGGTGGCTAGATGGAGTCACTGAAGCAGTCGGTGTGAGCTTAAGTGGACTCGGGGATGGTGGAGGACAGGAAGGCCTGGAGGAATGTTGTCCATGGGGTCACGTTGGTTCGGACACGACTTCACAACTAACTAACAACAACATGTACAGATGTGCACACATCTTTTAAACATACGTAGGAGGAAAGAATTATAAACTTGTCTGCAGGACTGCTGTGATGAGTGATGCAGTTCTGGAAAATCCTAAAGATAGTGTTAACCAAACACAGCTGGTCAACAGCTTAGGGTGAGCCCAGGTGGACCCCAGACCCCGAGTCAAAAGGAGCCTGAGACAAGACTCAGAGTCAAAGCAGCTTTATTCTAGTGCACTATAGAATAAAGGGAGACAAAAGGGAAGACACAGCCCAAACCAGTGTCTCGAAAGTTGCACCCCAGTACATGTGTTTTATACCCTAGGAAAGCAGTTAGGTCACCTAATACACCTCTAATGCATCAATACATAAATGTAGCCATACCCCCACTGCTGTTAGCTTCAAGGAGTCTTCTGTCAAGGACCAGACATTCCCCATGTCTATTTCTTACCTGCTAAAGATTCACACAGGCTTACCCTGTTCTTACTCTCTGCACATCTACAGCTTTCATGGTGGCTATAACCAGTTCCCACTGTCCCTTTGATTACTATATTCGAAGTCAGGCTAGCTTGTTAGCTGTGAGTTACACAAAGTTCATTTTGTTCTTATCCACCCTCTCTTCTTAGACAGGAAATTCAATATAGGTATGGTTTTTTCCTATGTGGCCTCCCTTTAGCCAACTATTTTTGGGGTGCTGCAGTTGGCAACAATAGACTTCTGTCTGTAATGGAGGTTCACAAGCAGGCAAAGGGTGCCTTCAAGCAGTGAGTAAGAACAAAAGCTTTTCTGTGCATTTCTCAGTGATGGAGAGCAAAATGACAACTAAAGTTTTATTTTTGAATAATTAAACAATTTCACACTGGAGTCCCATAAATGGCAGCCTAAAAAGTAAAACTCATTGAATCCAATGGTGCTCACTCTCAGGTAAATGCAGGTTTTACTTCCAAATGCTTTGCTCACAATACCATACATATGATATGTGCATTATTTATGTTCTTAGATAAGCAGTAACAGAACCCTCAATTACCTACATCTTCCAGTGGTGAACTGGGTAGGGTTCTCTAAGAACAATTTAAGTTGTGAATGAGGTGCCCTCCATGAACCCCTGGAAGATTACCCAACCCACACCTACCAGGTGTACCAAATCCACACCTATTGGCCCATTTATACCAAAGACACATGTGCAAGGATATGATAACTCTTCCTAATAATGTGCTGTTTTACAAGCATATTCTCCATCCTTTGTGCATAGAAGGAAATGACCAGCAAAACCCCTTCTGTACAGGTTACCCAATGCACCCCAGCAAGAGTCTATCTGACAAAATTCCCACAACTTTCCACTTGAGCAAGCTCATATTAGCGCCCAGTGCAATCTTACAGCATTTCTAAACAATAACTTGACAATCTTCCTTTAAAAACTGTACGTACCCATCTATACAACAGGTGCAAGTTATCAGTAATAATGTTTCTACAATCTTAGCCTTCTTGGTTTCTTCTTGAAAACGGACATGAAAATACTTACTTTTACTCACTTCACATCCCAAGGCCAAGATCAGAGAATCTCCCTCCATTAGGTGTCTCTCCTTTCTTTCCATGATTGGAGAGCATCACTACTGGAAACTCGGGAAGAGGAAAGGTCGGCGCAGGTGAAGGACCGCAATGGCGATGACCGCTTTACCATACAGTGCTTCCCGCGTCTGAGGTGCTGCCGATCTCAGGTAGGGAGTACAGCGAAGAAAGGCTCTGCTCGCTCCCGTGCGACTGGATCGGAAAGGCGAGCGCGCACCAAACAGGCGTCTCTTTCTTGCGCCCGGATTTCTCGTGGAGACATAGGAGCTAAAAGGTTACACACTCCACCAAGGAAGGAGGCGAGAAACACTCGCGCTGCACTTCCCATTGAAAGGCTTAACAACCCGTGGAAATTGAGCTTTCTTTTCCCTTGATAGGAATGGCAGAGTGATGGCTGTTTGGGCGGTCGTTGGAAGGAAATGCTTTCGCTTTCCCTGGAGGACGGAGCCTCCCGCTTAGTCTGTATTAAAGGCTACACTCTAGGGTCGTTAGGGGTGGAGAAAGGAAATGTATACCCGGCGTGGAAGACTAACTTTTCAGGAAACAACCAGTACTGTGCTGGCTTTTTTATATCATTTTTTACAACGAGACTTATTCCAGTACGTGTCTCTTTCCCGGCCTTCCTGACTTGCTCTCAGGCGGTTCTAACGGGTCGCAGACGCTGCAGTGTATCGCTACATTGTATTGCTGGTCATCCCAGTGAGGTTGGTGGTTTGGTGCTGTCATTAGGGACTTACAGTGACCCTGTGGATGAACTTTCTCCAATGTGCCCTGTCCTTGGCGCCCTGTTTCAATCTTGGAAATTCAAGGCTGTGGCTTGCTTTATGAAATTGATCTAGCTCATGTCTGGTCCACCTAATCGACTTCCTTTAATTTTTTCTAGCATTCTAGTCTTCTCCAAAGTGTCTTTGGTGCAACTGCATGTGTCTGAATTCTGGTTGCTACATATGGGGAAAAAAGACATTGAGTTGGAAAAAGTGCAGAGAAGGGCACCTAAAATGAGCTACTCTCCTGTGCAGAGCAATTAAACAACTGGGATTATTCAGCATAGGAAAAAAAGGAAGGTATGATAGAGGTGCTTAAAATTGTGCATGGTGGCATCAAAGTGGAAGATCAGACATCTTTCTCCTTCTCCCATAATACTAAAACCCATGAAGTTCTGTGGTAGAAGCTGTACCTCTTCACTCAGCACATAGTTCAACTATAGAATTCATTGCCACAGGAGCTGTACGGCATTTAAAGGAGGATTGGAAAAAATAATGGAGAAGAGGGCTAT